TTACATTACATTACATTGCATTACATTGCATTGCATTACATTGCATTGCATTACATTGCATTGCATTACATTACATTGCATTACATTACATTACAGTGCATTACATTGCATTACATTACATTGCATTACATTACATTACATTGCATTACATTGCATTGCATTACATTGCATTACATTGCATTACATGACATTGCATTACATTACATTACATTGCATTACATTGCATTACATTACATTACATTACATTGCATTACATTACATTCCATTACATTGCATTAAACTACATTACATTACATTGCATTACATTGCATTGCATTACATTACATTGCATTGCATTACATTGCATTACATTACATTACATTGCATTACATTACATTGCATTACATTACATTACAGTGCATTACATTGCATTACATTACATTGCATTACATTACATTACATTGCATTACATTGCATTACATTACATTACATTGCATTACATTGCATTACATTACATTGCATTACATTACATTACATTGCATTACATTGCATTGCATTACATTGCATTGCATTACATTGCATTGCATTACATTACATTGCATTACATTACATTACATTGCATTACATTGCATTACATTACATTGCATTACATTGCATTACATTACATTACATTGCATTACATGGCATTACATTACATTGCATTACATTGCATTACATTACATTACATTGCATTACATTGCATTACATTACATTGCATTACATTGCATTACATTGCATTACATTACATTACATTGCATTACATTGCATTACATTACATTGCATTAAATTACATTACATTACATTGCATTACATTGCATTGCATTACATTACATTGCATTGCATTACATTGCATTACATTACATTACATTGCATTACATTACATTACATTGCATTACATTACATTACAGTGCATTACATTGCATTACATTACATTGCATTACATTACATTACATTGCATTACATTGCATTACATTGCATTACATTACATTACATTGCATTACATGGCATTACATGACATTGCATTACATTACATTACATTGCATTACATTGCATTACATTACATTGCATTACATTACATTACATTACATTACATTGTATTACATTGCATTACATTACATTCCATTACATTACATTGCATTACATTGCATTACATTACATTGCATTACATTGCATTACATTACATTGCATTACATTACATTACATTACATTGCATTACATTGCATTACATTGCATTACATTCCATTGCATTACATTGCATTACATTGCATTGCATTGCATTCCATTGCATTACATTACATTGCATTACATTGCATTCATTGCATTACATTGCATTAGATTGCATTACATTACATTGCATTACATTACATTACATTGCATTACATTGCATTACATTACATTGCATTACATTACATTACATTGTATTACATTGCATTACATTACATTCCATTACATTGCATTACATTACATTACATTGCATTACATTACATTACATTACATTGTATTACATTGCATTACATTGCATTCATTGCATACATACATATTATTAGACTAATATTAACCTTGGGGACGCTATGAAATTGCAAGAAGGCTCCCCGTTGCCATGTGTTGCCCTATCTGGCAGATCCAGCCACGACTTGACCTTAGGGACCGTGCGAGTTGAAATACCTGGGGAACAATCGAAGGGCTATGGATGGCTATGGATGGCTATGGATGGCTGGATATGGAGGGAGAACATCAAGCGAACCATTTTCCACCATCTTCCACCATTTTCCACCATCTTCCACCATTTTCCACCATTTTCCCTCCAACTGAAGAACTGGGCTAGCTGATTTCTCACTTTGTGACTGTCGGATACTGTCGGGCCTCATGCTGCCGAAGACAATCAACGAGCCAGATCCGTTCAACGCTGGAGTCCCTGCACCTGAGGCAGCTATCAACGTACCGTGGCGAAGGTCCAGGACGCACAAGGAAAGGCGTTCGTTAAGATTCTGCAGATGTCTGCATCTGGTTGGTGGTTTCAAACATTTGGATTATTTTCCATAATATCTGGGATAATCCTTTCCCATTGACTTTCATATTTTTCAAGATGATTAAAACCACCAACCAGTCATTCTATTGCAGACATTGACACCGCGGCAGATTGTGCCTTCGTCTTGGCCAAAGTTGATAGAGTGGAAGTAAGCCCAGAACGGGCTACGCAGCCGCGGCGTCGCGTTCTTTGCAGGCACCTATGGAACGTTGATGACCTGGCTCACATGCCGTGGTAAACTCTGGGTTAATCTATGGTTAGCGGTTAATCTATGGTTAATATATGGATAATCTATGGTTAATCTATGGTTAATAGAGATGGATTTCCATAAACTGTGAGTTTACTGGAGGGTAAAATATTTTCAGTAACCAAGCATGGTTGGTTTATGGATGTGTTGGTTTGCACTGCCGAAATCTGAGCGCTTGCTTGTGCTTGCTTCTCTTGCCAGAGACTTCAATGACACCATGAGATTTACAGAGGTATACAGTAATTTTATGTACCATCTGGTTATTCAATATAGCCATGAAAAATCACAATGTTTAATAGGCAAACCATCTATAAATGGGCCATTTTCCATGGCTATGTCAAATAACCAGAGGGTAATTATTTTGGTTTTGAAGTCCCTGGCAAGAAAAATCTGTAAATGAAGTTCTTATGGTAGAAAATCAATAAGTCCCTTATTTACATTTTATACCGGTACAGATTTACTTCTGGCCCTGAGCTTCATTCCTAGAATTGCTTGAAGAAATTATTTACAGGAAACATTCATGCTTGGATGTTAAAACACCTATGTTCCCTGCAGATTTTCGCAACAGAAGCAATTCATGGTCCAGTATTGGGACGAGGTCCATTTGTTAGTGAAGGACTCAATGTATATATGATGGTTACACATATATTTATAGGCGGCATATTATATGTGTGATTATATATGTACCATCCGGTATTTAGAGATTATTACTTTTCAATTCAAACATATTCAAACCTCCATTTATAGGGGATTTCCCATTGCAATGTTTGATTACCGCAGGGTACATTTTCTGGATGACAACATGATTATATAAATGATGCTATATATGTGTTCGCTTATGTATCAACATCATTTTGCATATATTTTGGATGTAGCAGTATATATATATAAGATATTAATGAATATAAATATATGTATAAAGTGATAACATCAAGCAAAACACAATCTAGTGCAGACACACCAGAAACGTCAGCTCTTTGTTTCGTGGCATGGCAAGGTATCTTCGACACAGCGGTGACTCCCGTCCAAGCACAATTTGAGACTTGGCTGCACAAGTGGACAGCGGCGACCAAGGGTGTTAAACTGCTCAGGTTTCTATTTCCACCACATTCTTTACCCGAACTTGCCAATGGTTCACTTCTAGTCTGGATTTGTTGTTTAATACTTGAATCTTTTGCAATACATTGTGATTTTTAGCAACCAGCTAAACCATGGGCAACTAAGATTGGCGATGAAATTTCAATGGTTTTCTCAGACTTTCATGACACGTGATTTCAAAGAACAGCGCCCCGAAGCACCAGGTAACACGTGGTTCAATCTTTCCATGACATATTGCAGGTGGTACTTTGATTGTACCAGGCCTGGTGGCCAAACCGATAAACCACTTCATATTTGTTGATTAGATTGATCAGCTTGATTGGATACCTTTGGTTCTTGGCATTTCATACCTGTTGAGAACGTCATCATGCTTAGAATCTGATTGCGCCCCCCAAAACGCCCCCATTAGATAATCCAGTATATATATTTACATGCATGCTATATATACATATATATATATATTATGTACATATGTATAAATGCAATGCTTAAACTACGGAAACGTCGGAAACATGCTGTGGTCACGGCGAAGTTGCGTGAGCCTATGTACTTCGCCCGCCCGTGGATTTCAACCTCAGCAACCACATGTTGTTTTTTTCTCCGAAGATGAATATACCATCGAATCCTTCGAAGGATATACCCTCTGGTAAACTGTTACACAACTATGGAAAGATCGACCATTTTTAATGGGAAAATCCACTATTTCTATGGCCATTTTCAATAGCAATGTTAGTTTACCAGAGGGTAATCAATGATATGATATATCCCACTATAATTCCCATGAATATTCATCGCCATGAAAACAGAATATTACCAACCATAATGAGGATACATATATGCCAACCCAGTATACTCTATAGTATCTTCATTGCGGTTGATTTCATCCCCTATTCCCCATGAAAAGTCTGCCAACGTCAGGGCCAAGTGCAAAACCTCACGCAGATGGGCGATCTCTCCCTCTCTACCATGCCAGTGGCCTGGCAAAAATGGCAGCAGCACCGAGAATATGAAGATATCCCGAGAAAACATACAACATGTTGTATATATACATCCCCAAATGGCCGAACTATTCAGGTTAGTGAAATATGATAATTTACCCATATATATATAGTGGTTTAATGGTGATGAGTTAAGCACTGTGAGTTTTTTAAGCGATATATAGTTTCTATAATGGTAAGATTTCTGGGTCATAGTCGATGTATCCCAGATTATGGGATGTGAGTTGATGGCTAAGCCATCTGCCGATGAATCTTGATCATGGATACACCTGAAGTGGATAACTCCATAATACCGTTAGAATATACCCTCCAGTAAATTAACATAGACCCTGCCAGTCATCGGGGTTGGAAGACTAGTTTCCACTATAAATTGGTCATTTTCAGGGTCCAACTGTTAATTTATCAGAGGGTAAACCATAGATAATCCATATTAAACCATATTAAATAACAATTAAACCATAGATAAAACCATATTACCCATATTAAACCATAGATAATCCATAGATAATCCATATCAAACCATGGATATTTCCTGGGGGTAATGGACTGGGGGTAATGGTTTTGAAACAGAAAGATGAAAATGGCCTGGGTCCACACCTTCGTTTGCGTCCTTATGACGCGTGGGAACTTCTCGCGGCGGAGTTGGACGTTGGAGTTGCTGGTGCAATTTTTCAGGGTCAATGTTAGCATTTACCAAAGGCTAATAATCACATTAATTATATCACATTTACTTATAGGATATAACCAGGATATATTGATGGATATTGATACTATATAAGCATCACATTTAGTTATAGGATATATTAAGGATATTAAATGGATAATCCAAACATTGCTTATGATTCCCAAATGGATGGTTTATGATTGTTTTAGCCACATTCATGAATATTACCCTCTGGTAATTTGTTACATAGCTAATGAACATGGCCATAGAAATAGTGAGTTTTCCCATTCAACATGGTGATTTTCCATAGTTTTTTGTAGGTTTACCAGAGGGTAATGTTCAGTAATACGTGGACATTCTGAAACCATGAGGATCCATGAGGCATGAGTGATTCATGGGACATTCGTAATCACTCGCTCGCAAGATATCAAAAAATACGAAAATCATACAGATATCTAATAAGTAAGACTAAGCTGTTCTGCCTCCATGTGCCGTTTGGGCTGCCTCCGGCAGAGAGTCTTTTCTGGTCAATGGACAGCTCCCCATTCAATGTACACTGCATGCACACACAGATGCAGATGCAATGTATGTATATATATAATATTATATTATATGCATGTAGGTCGGGACCATAAAGGTAATTGATGAGGATTAATAGGGAATAATGGGGAGCAATGGTGATACATTGGTTATTTCGCCAAGGATATAGTATCCGGATAAATTATAACGACCGACCCCCGACCTCACTGGAACTGTAACTATCCCAGATTGTTGCCTTATTTCAGATGAGTGAATTAATACAATTTTATCCAGATAGATAGGTAGATAGGTAGGTAGGTAGATAGGTAGATAGGGAGATAGGTAGATAGGTAGATAGATATGTACCAAGTTGTCGCGAATCAATTTCCCAATCGAATATCCTGATTTGCCCTGATTGTTCAGATTACCAAAGGGTCATCCTCATCCTCATCATCACCAATATTTGTCAAATATCTCAAGTGTTCACTGTTGACATATCTACACATATATGCTATTACTCGCATTATATATATATATTATCATCAATCCCAGTTATTTATTGCTAAGTATAACAATCTCTCGTCGCCTTTAGCTTAGCTGAACTCTTCGAGAAGGCGATGGAGAGAGAGACAATCTATAACATCATTGGTTTAACCTTGCTTTTTGCTGTTGCCCCCCTTGGGTTCAAGATATACCCCCAACAATGTCAACTTGTCAACCAAGTCCCGCCTTCATTGTTGATGAACACACACACACACACACCTACACAATAGATATACATACATACATATATATATAATAATAATATATATATATATGATCAAATATTAGCATCATTAATCATTAACACAGCCTTTTTATTGGCGGCCCATCGTCGGATATCGTCGGTGCTTTTTTGTGCGTCGAGGAGTTGCAGACTTTGACTCAGACTCTGGCAGCTCTGGAGATGAGGGCCTTGTTTTGGCCTGACAGTGGCCTGTCTGAGGCGTTTCTTTTTTTGGATTTACCCTCTGGTAAACAGCCACATAAATATGGGAAATCACCATTTTTACTGGGTAAATCCACTATTTCAATGGCCATTTTCAATAGCTATGTAACAAATTACCAGAGGGTAAAAACCAATACGAAAAGCACTGGTTTTAGATGGTTTAATAGGGAGAATCATGGGATAATAAATGGGAAATCATATTAATAATGGGATAATGGGATAGTCATAGTGGGATGATAATGGGATAATACGGGCATAATGATGGGAGAATGATGGGAGAATGAGAAGGTTGTAGGCGACTTGGAAAGAACCAGTGAAGCAGTGAATTTCTGTTGTGAACTGTGTGGATTCACCATAGGTATAGAAGTTACGTCCCAGCTTGTTTGATTATGATCGTGGTTGTACCCATTATCCCATTAATATCTCATTACTATCCCTATTAAAACATATAAATTCCATATAAACTCATATTAACTCACCATGGATAGAACTTTCTTCCCTCTAATTTGTTCGTTGAAGTGAAACGCAACAGTTGAAACTGAACAGTGTGTGGGCCCGTGGCAGCTGGAGAGAGAGAGAGAGAGAGATGGATTTTCCACTGCGACCTTTGATTATAATAGGGTATATGACTATAAATGATTAATTATTATGTCTGGGCATGGCTCATGTGTAACTGGGGAAACTCACCATTGTTGGGAAGCAGTTGTGAACATTCCTGGGCAGAACCAAGTAGAGATCAGAGAATCTTTCGGTTCGGTTCAACCGCCAATGTCGGGTGGTGAAAAAAAATCATCAGTGCCCGCAACGGGAAAGTCTGTGCAACTGCTGTATGGGCGTTGCTCCAAACATGTCCAAACCGCATGATCTTCGCAAATGTCCAAAGGGGCCCTAGATGAACATCCCAGCACCATTTTCGGTTGGCTTTCCCCGCCAAGTTGGGGGCCACAGTTTCTCTGATGAGTAAAGAGGAGGGCAGGTATACCCTCTGGTAAACAGCCACATAACTATGGAAAATCACTATTTTTAATGGGTAAATCCACTATTTCAATGGCAATTTTCCATAGCTATGTTTGTTTACCAGAGGGTACATGATCTCTTGCGGATTGCTGTGCCACCTTGGAAAAGACACAGAGGAACCATTTGGATGTTCGTTTCCAACAACATGAAAGCAGTGATTTCCCAATTGAAGGTTGGATTTCCAAAGGCTATATAATTCTCAAAGCTAATCCAAAAGATTAGGTTTGAATGCAACAAAGGCATGTCGCACTCGCAGAAATTTGCAAAGCTGGAAGTTAAGGGTAAACGTACCGTTGATTTAGAGTAGCGCATGTTGTTTCTCATATGTTCTTCTCTATATATATGTGCAGGTTCCTGAATGGTTTCAAATGCATAGAACAGAGAACAATGAAATCATGAATCATGAGGTAAACCCACTAATAGTTAACCATGAGATGTTCCCATGAGATGTTCCCATTTATCTATGGGTGTTTTTGTTCACTTGCTATGCATGGGTCCTGCACATCCAACTAATCTCTTGCAATATCTTGCAATCAAACCTCGCAATGGAAAAGCCTGTGTTTATACACAAGATTGCTGCATTTTCTCTCATTTTCCTTTGGCAACGATTTGCATTCCTTGGCCATGTAGAGATTGGTGCCAAGTCCACCCTGGCTCATTGTGGTTCCTTTTGCTCAATGTTTTTCACACAAACTTCCAGGCAGATTGCCGAAAAAATTATGTCGCCTTCCCCAGCACTGCCGTTTTGGCATGGCTTGAAGACAGCAAGAAGTAGTATTGAAAATGAGTCCCTGAAGATGCACTTCAATACCAAGACAAGCAAAGAATTGATTGAGATCACGACTGCCTGCATTTGGCACAATGCAGGCAGACTATGCTGGGCTTTACATTGGCCCTGCAGACCCCCTGGGTCACATCTGCCAGGTGATTGGATTATGTAAAAGCACAAAAACAGAAGTGGGAGAGTGGGACAATGTTGGAAAAAAACGAAACGAATTGCTACTAGCCTTTGGTGAACTAACATTCTCTGGTATAGATGTCCTTTTCCCATCGGTTGTCTGATTAATAGAGAATATAGAGGGGTTTGTTTACCCCTTTAACAACAGCCAATTAATGATAGATGCTATACCAAACCGGCCCCTCTGCTTTTACCAAAAGGACATTATTGATCTCTGGATATCTCTGGTATAGATTCTAGATAGCTCATTTAGTTCGATCATTTACCCACGTATGTCTCCGTAAGTTCCCGTCTTCGAATGCTGAGTTCCCAGGTGCTGCCGTGACGGCCGACGCCTCGCCATACAAGGACATGCACCCCGCGTACACTGCGATCACCTTGAGCTGCTCCTGGATGGATGATGGGTGACACCGGGTCATGAAAATCGTCATGTTCATAGATCATTAACCTCTGGTAAACAGCCACATAACTATGGAAAATCACCATGTTTAATGGGTAAATCAGGGTAAATCCACTATTTCAATGGCAATTTTCAATAGCTTTTTGTATGTTTACCAGAGGGTAACCTCACCATAACTTGGTATAACTTGAGGCTTTTTACGAAAATCGCCAGGCCCATTGGCCTCGGATGTGGACGCGATTTTTTTGGGCCAACGGGCGAAGATGGTGTCCCCAAGGAACCACATGGAAGCACATGGAAGCACCATATGAATCCAGACAGGAAAATGTATCAGGATAGTTCACCTGTCATGCTAGACACGGTTTGGTGAAGATCGAGGCAACAATGCTCCAGAAGGTATCGTATATTTGCCTCCAGTGTGCCCAAACAATCGCCCAAGTGCGGCTATATCACATTTTTCGAGCATAATGTTAGTTGAAGAAGACCCGAACAAGTGTGAAGTAAGATACTGGTTGGTGGTTTCAAACATGAATATATATATATATATATATTCCAGTTCATAAAAAAAGGGATGTCATCCTTCTCATTGACTCATATTTTTCAAGATGGTTAAGTATACCACCTGCCAGGTGAAGTAAGATATGCCATGGTGAACTTCACAAGCCGGAAAATCACAGAGATTTTTCGCAAAGCCAATCATAGCAATAACATGATGCATACCATAGATGTCCCAAATTCCCATTGGTTGGTTGATGAAAATGGAGGATATTTTAAGGGGTTTGAAGAAACCCCCGAAAAACAACAGGTTTCTATGATGATAGATGGGATTAACCACAAACCGGCCCCTCTATGTTTACCAAAAGGACATTATTGATGCATACATGTGTAAAAACTATATGAACAATGAGAACTTTATTTTTGCACAACAGAATTATAGGATGATCAGAATCATTATCTTAAATATCCTAAATCATCTTAAATCTGGTCCAAAAACTTGGGCCATCATTAAATCACCTAAATCTTATGATTCAAAAACTTGGTCCTTATTTTTCGCCTTTTTTTTTTCAACGAACTGATCGAAGTTTTCGGACGCCCAGGTGCTGACGTGACACTGAGCAACGACCTGCCAGATGGCCTCGCCGGGACGGTGACCTTCGGCATGGACTCCATGGTGTCGAAGCTCGGAAACAGCAGATTTACCCTCTGGTTATGTCAAACATCACTATTGAAAATGATCATTTATATATAGTGGATTTTCCCATTAAAAATGGTGATTTTCCATAGTTATGTTAGTTTACCAGAGGGTATTTAAAAATCACCGGGGGATACAGGGGTGATGGGTTTGTGATGGGTATAGTGATGGGGATAGCTATTTTTTTCAAATATCCAAATATATCCACATATCCAAATCAAAGTTTATGATGGTGACTTCTAAAAATGGATATTTGATTTGGAAGTGTTTTATGGATTGGTTAGATGTGTTTCGAAGCTAGATGATTTTGGGTTTTCAAGAAGTGAAAAGTGATTTGTGGTTTTGTTTTTTTTTGAAGTCAGACAAGTTAGTATTCTGTTCATTGGTTTGATGCTGATTATGGTGATTTTGCTATCAAACATGTCGTTCAGAATTGGACAGTTTCAGTTAGTTTAATAAGAACGATCACTGGCAGTCATGGGTAAGTGGAGATACACTCTGGTAAGCTAACATAACGATGGAAATCACCATGTTTACTAGGTAAATCAACCATAAATTGCAATTTTCAATAGCTATATTAGTTTACCAGAGGGTAATATATGATGGTGGACTATATGAGGGCTTCTTGGAGGGGCCTAAGTTATCATCCAAAGTGATTCTAGTTTAACAAATTGAAACCATCACACGCTTGATGGTCGATTGGGTGACGTTTGTATTGTAAGTAGCTGCGAGACCTGCTGGTGCTGGGGAGATGTAAACTTGGAGATCCAAGACAAGTTGGGGACTATGTTGGGTGGGTGAATAGGCCAGCTTTAGATCACGGCGCCCGCAAGAGGGCGGGCGTTTGTGCAACTTTTTACTCCATTGCCCTTATTTCTCCCTCCTCCTCCTCCTCCTTCTCCTATGTTTCTTTTGATCGCTATTGGGGTGGACTTGGTTGATCTTGTTTGTGGGTTGGGTTGGGGAACTAACGTCCTCGCACTTGCACACCTACGCACTTCGGTGTGTCGTCAAAGGTTCCAAAAGTCATTTTGGACAGCTCTTGATTGGGCAGCTCTTGATTGGTCCGAAGTGCTGCAAGGGTTGTCGAAAACCGCTTCGGAGACCCTTGCAGGGATTTTGGACGTTTTGCTGATGTCAAGTTCCAATGAAATCACTAAAACGCACCAGAAGGCGCATGAAAATCCTTTAAAAAATCCTGGCCTCCAACAAGCACGGTCACTCAGTTTTAGCCATCTATTTGTGGATTTCATACCTGCTTAAAGTATCTTAAAGTCATACAAGCTTTTTGCTCGGTATCTAAGATTAGCAACGGGCATCATTCTAATGCAAATTGCTCTTTTTGGGCGCATTGGGTTGTTCGCGGGTCTCATACGCAACCCCCGAATTTCAACACCACTATAATATGATACTGATATAGAAATATATGATATATAGAATATATAGATATAGATATCTCCACTCTGAATCCCCTAAAGCTATGAAGTAACATGAAATAACCACCATACTCATGTAAGAGTCACAATTTCGAAACCTAAATGGCACCATGTCCATCTCACCACCTGGAAAACTCAGAGGACGGGCTGGACCTATTCGGGCACCACCTTCGACGCTTTGACCAGCCAAATGGATAGTTTGACCTGGACCTGCCCATCGTGCCTTGGCGCCTGTGGAAATGACATGAAATGACTGGCCAACCACCATAAATTTTTATCTGGTTGGTGGTTTGGAACATGATTTTTTTTTCCCATAATATATGGGATGTCATCCTTCCCATTGACTAATATTTTCAGAGGGGTAGGTATACCACCAACCAGGTATCCATTGGTAAGCTTCAAAATGATGAAAGCGTGCACTACTTTGCTATGATGTGTCTTTTCTATCTTTTTCGGCAATCTATCACACTGAATTCCACGGTTGGATACAATTGCTATAAATAGAGTGGTGTTCCAAAAGTGGCCGAAAAAAAACAGTGGGGGGAAGCGTAGAACTACGTTGCTGATCGCAGATGAGATGAACAGCCAGTGAACCCTGTGGAATTCTAGGTAAGCTGACTCCCAAAATGGAGGATTACCCTCTGGTTATGACTAACATAGCCATGGTATAGATGGCCCATAGAAATAGATGATTTTCCAATTAAAACCTCCATTTATAAGGGATTGTCCATGGCTATGTTAAGTAACCAGATGGTATATAGATATAATTGGCTTTACGAAGTGGCGGAAGTCACCCCACGAAACTTTTTTTTTTGGGGTAGATCTCGGTCAATCATGCAGGTTTGATGCACGCATGCCATGTGCATCCCAGTGGCTAAGTACTCATGATCGGTTTAGTTCACCCAATTATGTATGGAAATGTCCGAACTATTCCGAACTTACCCTCTGGTTATTTAACATAGCCATGGTATAGATGGCCCATTTATAGATGGTTTACCTATTAATAGCATGGTGGATCTTTCCATGGCAAACTGTGAATGTCATAACCAGATGGTATCTGTTACTTGTAGATGGTACTAGCAACTGACTGGGATGAAAACCTGAAAGTTTGATGTGTGTCCTGTTTTCTTGAGCAGCTGGCTGGCTGGATGATTTTACCTATGCCAAGAGCTCTTCAGCTACCAAGATTTTGGATGGCTCAAATTTCTGGTGCAGTTAAGGTTACAAATGGGCACAACCATTGCTATAACCTCCATAAGTAATATGATCCCTAAGCCTATAAAATACATATAAATACGGTTATGTCCACTTATAGCCTACAGCTGAAACTGCACTTCCAGGTAATGAGGTAAATCATGGTAAATCCAATCGAAGTCTCCAACCCCAATTTCGGTTTCGGAAATTAGGTATGATGACCCGTTGATTGAAATCAATTGGATTGCTTTGAACGCTGAAAATTATGTGCCCAGTTGTCATAAAATGTAACCCGTACCTAAGTTACCCATTTTGCTGCTGCTTGTAGGTTTGATTTTAGATAGACAGAACTGGCTTATCATAGAGAAATAGATGTGATTATAGATAGATGTAACTTCTTTATTTAGATGCAGGATAATCATTTTGTATAATCATGATGCACTTATGTATACATTGCATTGATGGGTACCGCCCAATAATAGGGAATTGTTTTTTTTTTATCGGTTTACCTTGTATAGGTATATGTGACAGTATGTGTATATAAGACGCATACTAATTGGTGATATAAATGTAACTTAACTGAAGAGATGGATGGTTCCCAATCACCAAAAGTTTTAGTGACACTTACTATCAACCAACCGTAAAAATAAATCCTAATTCGATGATTATCCCATTATTAGCTATTACAGCATCATTCTCCCATTTCTACCCCATTATAATTATAGTCCAATTACAATCCCACAGGCTTACCAAACTACAGCTAAGTTGGTGCTAGTTCACTCGGTAAATTCCAAGATTTATGGTGGATATAACGACCAAACGTATCAAACGTATCATGGAGGGTTATAAAGCATTCTAAATCATTACCCTCTGGTAAACTAACATAGCTATGGAAAATCACCATTTTCAATGGGTAAATCCACTATAAATGGCCATTTTCAATAGCTATGTTTGACATAACCAGAGGGTATAAATCCCCGTGAATGGATTGACAGGTTACCGGCGTCAAAATGAATTCTTCACTAAAATAATGTCCACTTGACTTTGCCTTGCCGACCATGTCAACCCTCTTGTCAAATTATCAAGTGATGTATTGTTCAAAAAAGAGCCACTAGTGATCAATACAGCCATGTATTAAGTATATGATCAGCCATTATCTTGACTTATTAGATGGGATAGTATGATAATTAACTATATATTATACATAAATTACATTATCTTAACTGATCAGCCATATATATATATATATATTATAGTCAATGGCTCAATGACTTCATTGTCAGCCATTAATTCGGGGGAGCCATGGGTCCCGCAGGTTGAGTGCCTATACCTGCACCAGCGGCGCCACCAGCACGGTGTGCGATGCCGGTGCTCAGTTCGTGCAGAATATTAAGGAGCCACTGGTACCTCGGACGGTGACCTTCCCAAAATGTGGTGGCTTTATATGGTTTAGTATGGTTTAGTATGGATATCAAGTTAGATAGATAGATAGATAGATAGGTAGGTAGATAGATAGATAGATATTAATGGGATAAAAGTGGAACAAGGATTTAAGATGGTTTTTTATATGCTCGAAAAATGGGATCATCATGGGATCATCGTGGAAAAAAACCATCCGATCTCATCGGCTCCATGGCTGGGAAATCCCTCAAAAATTGTGGGATTTTTTGAATGGGACACTCATCGAGCTACCCTCTGGTTATGTCAAACATAGCTATCGAAAATGGCCATTGAAACAGTGGATTTTCCCAATTAAAAATGGTGATTTTCCATAGTTATGTTAGTTTACCAGAGGGTAAATGGCTGGATTTTTCAGTTCTTGGGGATGCTATTAGGAGCTACCCGACCTGGTAAACGTTTACAGTTTGCGAACTGGAAAATCAACACCATGCTATGTAGCTGGGTAAATCCACGACATTTCGACTGGGCCATGGCTTCAATAGCTTTTTGTATGTTTACCATTTCGGGGAAACATTCATTTTCCTATTGTTTTCCTATGGTTTTCCTATGTTAGTTTACCAAAGGGTAGTGAATTGTGGTTCTTCACCATATTATGACATCGTGAACGTTTCGGAACCGGCAGATTTGCTGGTTACGGTTCAATGGATGGTTCAATGGGGATCTCAGCCACAAAATGAGGCTCGGAGCGATCCGAAGCGAAATGATCGATACCCTCTGGTTATGTCAAACATAGCTATTGAAAATGGCCATTGAAATAGTGGATTTTCCCATTAAAAATGGTGATTTTCCATAGTTATGTTAGTTTACCAGAGGGTACCAAGAAATGATCGATAAATGAATACACATGGTGGGTTTACACTGGTTTACATATCTATCTGTCGAGGTTAGGGATGTCAAACTGCATTAAAAATGCTGGAATTGGATTGGGATTCCATAAGAACATGTGTGATTCATCACGGTGCGCAAGATCTCAGTTCTGGATTTATCCGTCAGCAAGTTGAGATTTGTCACGGGAAAGAATGGTGTTTTTTCAAAGTGATGGTGAGGCCGCAACTTGCATAAACCATCATAAACCTACAAGAATATCACTATGTCGTTGCAAAATGGCAAAGGCAGGAAGAAAAAACATGAAAAAAACGCAATGATGTGCCTGATAAAAATTTGGGTCGAAGCTTTGAGGCCGAAAGATGATCATTTTCCAATGACCAACCATTAATTCATTTTACCTATTCTTGGTGCTGAAAGCCAATGAAACCCTACCAGGCTCTACCATTTCTTGCAGAAATAAGCTTGAAAAAAAGTTAGGGCAAATGTTGGCCAACATTCTGAGGTGACTCAGAATAAGTTCAAATGCATCTACCAGGTTCGCAGAACTGGGCAGCAACGGGTGCTAAAATTGGTGACTGGTGGAGAGCATTTGGCGAATGATTTGGTAAACCAACCGATGGAGAATAATGGATAACACTGGCACATCAAGCATGATTTGCAATTTATATATGCTGTATGCATATCACAACACAGAAACCATTTATTTGAGAGCAAGTGTGGCCCTGTTGGCACGGGATCATGCCATGTTTGCAGCACTGTTGGTCAATATAATTGCATATACCCTGTGGTTATTTAACATAGCCATGGAAAATGGCCCATTTATAGATGGTTTGCCTATTAAACATTGTGATTTTTCATGGCTATGTTTAATAGCCAGATGGTAATAATTACAGAGTAAGCTGATGGGTAGGTTCATGATTGTTGAGCAGCAAACGCCCAGTTTCTGTCGGTTGGCAACTCCACAGAAGGCAAATCCGGCATTTTTAGATCATTTTCTTGGGAAAGGTCCTAGGTTTTCCATGTGTCAATTCACCTTGGGAAGGTATTTGTATCCAATATGGTTGCAACTTGCAAACATCCAGCAAGCATGGGCAACCATGAAGGGCTACTTGGATGTCCTTCTTGAATAAGTGGTGCGTAACCATACTTGGAGTTGTCATGATGATGTTTTTCAGACATAGAAACTAACTATTCCATCTACTGGGAAATCCCACCATCACCCATAGAAGACTGGGTCATATTTCATGGCTTGGGAAACCATATGGGATTGGCGTCCGTGGCTCGTGGATGCCCTTTTTTTGAGCAGCCGCAGTTCTTTTCTACAAGTATTCAAAGTTAACAACCTCATCTGGTTGGTGGTTTCAAACATTTGTTATTTTCCATATATGGGATGTCATCATTCCCATTGACGAACTCCATCATTTTTCAAGATTGTTTTTTAACCACCAACCAGTCATAATTAACCAATAATTAACCATTCTTAGCCATGATTAACCACTATTAACCACTATTAACCATTAACCAACCAGTTATTCATTGTAACAGTCTGGGAAAATCCCCAAGGTATTTTTGCTTCCCCAAAAAGTTTTCACCAGGTCCTTGGGGCCCCCTTGGGGCCCCAATCCCCCACGGATGATCATCGTCCGGGAAAAACCAATGCCATGAAATCACCGTTATTAACCATTATTATCCATCATGAATCATCATTAGTCATCATTAACCCACATTAAATCCACATCAATCGACATCAATCCCCATTAACATTCCCATTCACATTTCCATTATATGTTTATTATAATCACCATTAATCACCATTAATCACAATTGTTAACCATCATTAATCATCATTAACCACTATTGTTCATTGTTAGATGTCTGCTATCTCCGCAGGTGGACCCCACAGATGGTGTCACCATTTGCAACCCGCGGGACATGACCAGCACCGGCGGCGTTTGGAGTGGGCAGTGCGTGGCTGGGCCTTGCTGGGCCAAGGTATACGCTCAGGTAAACTAACCATAGGAAAACCATAGGAAAACAATAGGAAAACCACAGGACAACCATAGGAAAACCATAGGAAAACCATCATGTTATATCCACAAAAAAACTTCACTCACCGCGTTATCTGCGTCAACTTCGCTTTCCAGGGGCCCAGGGGCCCACCGATGAGCGTTTAAGCATGAACAAATACGACATGGTTAACATTTTACCACATTTAACCACATTTAACTACATTTAACCAACGTGGTTTGACATGGTTTTGCCAAGAAACATTGGACCGCTGGTGTTGGAATTCTTTAACCAACCAATCATCAGATTCAGCCATCAACAAAGGGTGGCCCCAAGGGGCTCCCCCTTGGGGCCCCTTGGGGCAAAGCTGTGGGACTAGCTGGGATTCACATGAGCACCTATAGCAAAAGATTAAAGTAACGAAGTATCAATCCAACGTTGATCCATCAAAAGGAGCTGATTTTTTGCATTAAAAAACGGAGGGTTAGCCATCAAGGACTACTGGTACCAGTTTAGAGTTAAGAATGTGATGTGATTTTGGCCAATATGATGTCAATCCCAACCAGAATGGGAATAAAAAAAGGAATTGTAGTACCATCAACATGGAAATTATGGGTGATTTCACCACCAAGAACGGACGTCCACGGAAGTACATGGCTCAACCAAGAAACAAATATACCGTTCCTCCAACATAGACCCTGCCATGACTCATGACTTCGAGGTCAGAAGTTTGCCCAACTTGTCCTGATTGGTTTGGAACATTTTTTCCATTCAGTTGGGAATGTCATCATCCCAACCGACTAACCACGAACATTTGGATTATTTTTCCCATCATATTGGGAATGTCATCATCCCAACTGACTAAGTCCATCATTTTTCAGAGGGGTAGGGCTCAACCACCAACCAATGTCAGTGGGGGCCGGTTATCAATGTCAGTTGGGGGCCAATGGTGTCACCGGTGATTCCAGCCCCATGATCTAAGAGATGGGTAGCTCTGAGATAGCAGCCTCAGCTTTCCATGAGATTTTCACCGCAAAGCCGAAGAGTTAACCGTTAGTTATGTGCGTCAATTGAGCTATTCAGTGGGGCCTCAGCTTGTATAACTATATAAGGTCAATAATGTTTAAGTAGTTGATGGTTTAGCCATGTTTAGCCAATGGCGAATAGTGGCCAACAATGGCTAATAACAGCTAATAACACTTATATGTATGACGATTAGTGTTGATAAAACTCTTGTATAAATATAAGCTATTATTACTGTAGCTAACTATCTGGTTGGTGTTTTCAAACATGTTTTATTTTCCATAATATATGGGATGTCATCCTTCTCAATGACGAACTCATATTTTTCAAGATGGTAAACACTACCAACCAGCCATAATTAACCAATAATTAGCCATGATTAACCACTATTAACCATTAACCATTAACCAACCAGTTATTCATTGTAACAGTCTGGGAAAATCCCTCTGTATTTGTTTTAACCACATTACCATGAAAATCACCGTTATTAATCATTATAATTATATCATTATTATCCATCATTAATCATCATCAACCATCATTAATCATCATTAATCATCATTAATCATACCATAAAATCACCACTAATTACCATAAAATCACCATTAATCAGCAACTATCATTAGCCATCCGTCCATCCGTTTTTACAAAGGTGACCTCGCTGACAAAACGCGCTGACTTTTTCGCTGCTGACACCGAGGTCGCTGGCGAGGACACGGTGCAACCCTTCAAGGTGGTGGACTGCACCATCCAGGAGCAACTCAGCAACCACTGGGAAGATCAACCGGATTCAGGTTGTGTCATCAAAGATCCATGGGTAGGTAGAAAAAAATGGGTAGATTTAGCCACTAAATCTCGAACTCAAAATCTAAATCCGGGAAATCCTGGAAAGCCACAATCGGAATTGGGATGGATCCATGGGAAAAAAAGCAGTGATAAACCAAGAGAATCCGGTGAAATATGGATTTTATCGGAAAAAATGATCGAAGTAGGTGGATTAAACATGGCACGCCATGGAGCTGATTACCAGAGGATATAGCTGATAGCCTATCTGGTGTTTCAATGGGGAGCTGTATACGGAGCCTTTTGAGAGATTTACCACCTGACGGGGAGATCAGTGGATTAGTTGCAACCTGAATCTGCA